TTTGCCACCACGGACCCCTCTGCAGGTGGTGGGCCCACAGGAGGGACTGCCCACGTCACCCCTTCGGGAAGAGCCCGGCCGGGCCCCGTGGGCCAAGGCCCGGCCACCAGGTGCTCGCATACGAGCCCCGACCCCAGGCCTCCAGCTCCAGGGTGGGGCCCCGGCTGCGCCATGCCGGGCGACGTCACGGTTCTTGATAGCGTGCTGTGCATGTTGGCTTCGGACTAACCTTGCCTGCAAGCTGAATTCTCGCGGTATTTGTGAGTTCACAAACACTCGAGAATACATCTTGTACCGCTCCCGCTTACACTTTTCGAGTCGAACCACTGGGTGTGCGAGCCAATCACGCGCCAGTCTGGGGGTTTAGGGCGGGATATCCGGGTTTGACGAAAGCAAGAAGTGCCGGGCCGAAGCAAAACAAACATGGCTACGCAGGAGGACGGACGCAAAGTCAGTTTTAGCAGAATCTCCAATTTCTTTTTTGAAAGATGAACAGCGAGAGGCGCTTTGTACATTTCTGGACGGCAACCTTGGTAGGCGGGCACACAGCGTCACTTCGCCCAATCAGCTTCAAGTATTCTGCTGCTTACCCCTCCTTTCCCCGAAAGGATTCTCCGGGAGAAATCCCAGATTGATCGCGGAGAACGCGTTAGAGTTCTACACAATCATCAATCTGGCTCTTGCCAGGTTAGCTTCGGACTGCTCTTCGTCTGATTCTTCGAAAAGGTGCCTTGCCCTCTGCAGGTGGGTGGAGTGGTCATTCCTCATGTGGAGGAGTTCAAGTATCTCGGGGTCTTGTTCACGAGTGAGGGAAGGATGGATCCTGAAGTCTGAAACTTTAGACAGTTGTTGTCAACAAAACAATGACCATAGGCTTTGAATATTGTGAGCTTAGGGCACGGTCACATAGGTTTTTACAAACGAACTAGGCCAAGTGGCCCGGGTCGTCGCCACAGGGGTGTGGAAACAGCCCGCGGTCACATGAACGTATTGTCTGAACCGTGCCAGGGAAATTGTGCTGTAGTTCAACACTCAGTCCAGCTGGTGGCGCTAATACTAACACCAGAGACTACCTCGTTGCCCTGGTTGAGATCCGCTTCTTTTCCTGTTTACATTCTGCTACAGTAGCTAACAGCTCACAGCTACAGTAGCTAACAGCTCACAGCTACAGCTACAGTAGCTAACAGCTCAGTTGTTTAGGGAAAGATACATCTCACACTCGTCCAAATTGCTCTGATGCAAAGTGCAGCAGTTCATTGGTAACGTGTTGGTAACGTGAATGCACACGTTTGTGTGTGTGTGTGTGTGTGTGTGTGTGTGTGTGTGTGTGTGTGTGTGTGTGTGTGTGTGTGTGTGTGTGTGTGTGTGTGTGTGTGTGTGTGTGTGTGTGTGTGTGTGTGTGTGTGTGTGTGTGTGTGTGTGTGTGTGTGTGTGTGTGTGTGTGTGTGTGTGTGTGTGTGTGTGTACGCACGTCGAGGACAAGACTTCTTATGGGGTCAAGAGGTCTGAGATGTAAGATGGAGCCTGGCCATTTAAGGCTCTGAAAGTTAAATTATAAAGTAATTTAATTGGGAGCCAATGAAGTGAGGACAGAACCGGGGTGACGTGAGACCACCGGGGGGTTCCTGTTTAAAGTCTGGCTGCAGAATTTTGCACATATTGAAGTTTGTTAAGAGCACTCTTATTAAGACATGTAAACAATGAGTTGCAGTAGTCGAGACGTGTGGGAACAAAGGCATGAATGATCATCTCCAAGTCCTTCTGTGATAATATTTTACATGTTTCTAACAAGCTGTTTAGAGTGTGTGTCCAGATTCAGGGCCTGATCAAAAACAACCCCCAGGTTTCTGAGGGTGGATGTGACAGAGGGACCAAGTGAACCCAGGTGTTGTTTGATGTCTGGAATCTTATTGTCGGGAGCAAAAATCAGGGTTTCCGTCTTGTTAGAATTTAGCTGAAGATAATTTGCGGTTAACCAGCCTTTGATCTCGGACACACACACTAAAAACTGGGGGATAAGGTGAAATTCAGAGTCTTTAAAAGAAAATTACAACTGGACATCATCAGCATAAAAATTATAAGATACATTTTTTAAACGGTTGATAATTTTCCCAAGATGTAAGGGGTATAATTAAAACAATAAAGGGCCCAGAACAGACCCTTGGGCAACACCATAAGGAAGCTGGGACACATCAGACACAATATTGTTCACAGCAACATTGAAGGTTCTTCCACAAATATATGATGAGAACCATTTGAGGACACAGCCAGAGAAACCCATCGTCTTACCAAGGCGATTTATCAGAATACTGGGATCCACAGTGTCAAAAGCAGAGGTCAGATCTAGTAAAACCAATATTGTACAGCGACCAGAATCTGCCGCCATAAACACGTCATTAGAAACTTTAACAAGGGCAGTTTCTGTGGAGTGCAACTTCCGGAAACCAGACTGAAGAGTGCCAAACAGATTGTGTTGCTCCATGAATGTAGTTAGTTGGCTTGCAACAACTTTTTCCAAAATTTTAGCAACAAACGGGAGCTTTGATATAGGTCTGTAATTTTTTGGCTCTGAGGGGTCAAGATTGGGCTTTTTTAGAGTGAAATAGCTGGGGACGGTGCCAGACTCTAAGGATAGATTAAACAGTTTCACCAAACAGGGGCCGAAGACTTCAAGCTTTTTTTAAAAGCAGGGATGTAGGAATCATATCAGCAGGACTCGATGATAGTTTCATTTAGCTCACAACAGCCTCCACCTCTTGTAGGCTGACTGGAGTAAAGGCTGACCAGGAGCACACCTGAGTAACCTCAGACGCACAGACATCAATAAGTGACGGGTCTATAGTCGCTCTGATGTCTTCTACTTTGTTCACAAAAAAGTGTAGGAACTTATTACAGTCCTCTTGTGAGTGCACTGACACAAGAGGAGCCGTGGGTGCCACAAGACGTTCAATGGAGTCAAAGAGAACTTTTGGGGTCTTTCTTAGTACAAGAAATGAGGTTTGAGAAATAAGCTGAGCGAGCTTTATCTTCCCATTTAGCTCCAGCATCATTAAACAAGCGTTCCATTTTCCGACACTCCTAAAACTGCAGATATCAACATTTAGCCATGGAGCAGGTTTATTCTGTGAAACAGACATCTTGTTAACAGGTGCCACAGTATCCAACAAAGACCGGCAGTGACTATTAAGGCTTGTTAAAAATGTTTCCACATCATCATTACAGTCAACAAAAGGGCTTAGGTCAAGAGAATCAACAAACCTATCACATGCAGCTTCATTTATAAAGCGTTTTGAGATCACAGTATTGCGAACGGCCGGCTCCACCCTAGACGACACAGTAAAAGATATACAATGGTCACTCATTTGAAAGTCCTCAATATTCAGTTTATCAATGACCAGTCCACATGAGTAAACTAAGTCCAAAGTATGACCTTTGTTATGCATGGGACCAGAGACATACTGGACATAGTTAAAAGAGTCTATAATAGTTAATAATTCTGCTGCAGGGTTCGTGCAGTCTTTGGCTCCGCTCTAAAGTCCAGAACCATCTACAGTTTGAGAACCAACAGACCCTATCTTCACAAACACTATCTTCAAACGCGGATTTAAGATATCTTCATCCTACCGCGACGGAAGATGAACAAACGTTAGCCACGAGCGCTAACTGCAGAGAAACGGGCGAGTTCGGCAACAAGGCAGGGCTGTCATAGATCCAGTGTAGTATAGCTAGGGCTAACCCATCGCAAATTAGCCTCATGTCATTAGCCGACATGGTAGCCTTTGATGGCGCTGTTTACGTTACTGTTGCTCACCTGCCAATCACCCTATTACCCTACTGGCCCGGTATGTTTCGTGCCGGGCATAATCGTTTTTCAATTGAGAAATGCCAGACCGACCTGCCCGCTGAAATTCCATGGAGGCGGGGCTAAAGGTCGGCTGGAGCCAGGCTAGATATCCTCTGGAGGAAACCCTGATGTTTATACCCTGAAGAAATTTGTTCCAACGTCCATTCATCCCACTCCTATTTTGGACATCAATATCTTATTTATTTTGCATAATCTATAATTACATTGTTTTTATTTAGTTTTTTTCATCTCAAATGTCCAAATAAAAAAAATGAAAAAAACATTCATTCAACATTAGCACGGCTCATGACAGTGTGAATCTGATAAAATAATTCCCTGTGTTTGCTGCTGGATTTGGTGAGTATCTGGCAACCTGAGATTTCCCTAAGTGACTTTTAAATGATATTAAATGTGTTATATGTATGTTAGCCAATCCTCTAGCTGCCCTTAGCAGATGAAGAACAAAAAAGGAGCTTTCTGATGGAATCGGATGTAGCCGAATTCTGCGCTCACAAGCGCCCCCCTGAGGCTGGGGTTGAGCGCGATAAAGACCATTATTATATGACTTGGACCGTACGCGCGCTCTGATTGGCTGATTACCGGTCTGATATTTTCCCATCTCGGACCGTTACCATGACAATCTGTCCGCAGCCCGTATCACAGTAAACCAAGTCGGACATGAACATACTTCACAAATATCTCAAAAGCATCGGTAAAGACACAGACGAGAGTCATATAATAAAACATTTATTAACCTCGCCACGGCTCGGTCTGTGCAGAGAAATATCAGACCAAAGACCTCGGTTAATAAGCCGTTAATCTTAGTTTCAAAAACACAATTTATGAGCCATCCTCTAAACTGTGGACATGTTGATTGTAAATGAAATATGTTTGAATTTTGTAAACCGCGATAAACAGAGAGAATAGTTGGATAGCAGCGCACAGGCTCCTGCCTCAGTGAGCTGTGGCTTTTACGTCTCCCAAGAGAGGCTCGCCTCACAGCGCGCTGCTCTGTCAAAAATAAGAAGAATATGACGAAAATCTGCAATTTCGAGGTAAAAATATATGAAATAAAGCAAAGTTACATTGAAATATTACAATAACACAAATCAATAAACTAAGTATTAATGTTTCCATTCTATTCTTTTTTCTTTCCATGATCGTAGATGAGCCTCATCTGTCTCACCTGTCTCACCTGCCTCACCTGCCTCACCTGCCTTACCTGTCTCACCTGCCTCACCTGTCTCACCTGCCTCACCTGCCTCACCTGTCTCACCTGTCTCACCTGCCTCACCTGTCTCACCTGCCTCACCTGCCTCACCTGTCTCACCTGCCTCACCTGTCTCACCTGTCTCACCTGTCTCACCTGCCTCACCTGCCTCACCTGCCTTACCTGTCTCACCTGCCTCACCTGCCTCACCTGCCTCACCTGTCTCACCTGCCTCACCTGCCTCACCTGTCTCACCTGCCTCACCTGCCTCACCTGTCTCACCTGCCTCACCTGCCTCACCTGTCTCACCTGCCTCACCTGCCTCACCTGCCTTACCTGTCTCACCTGCCTCACCTGTCTCACCTGCCTCACCTGTCTCACCTGTCTCACCTGCCTCACCTGTCTCACCTGCCTCACCTGTCTCACCTGCCTCACCTGCCTCACCTGTCTCACCTGCCTCACCTGTCTCACCTGCCTCACCTGCCTCACCTGTCTCACCTGCCTCACCTGTCTCACCTGTCTCACCTGCCTCACATGCCTCACCTGCCTCACCTGCCTCACCTGTCTCACCTGTCTCACCTGCCTCACCTGTCTCACCTGCCTCACCTGTCTCACCTGTCTCACCTGCCTCACCTGCCTCACCTGCCTCACCTGCCTCACCTGTCTCACCTGCCTCACCTGCCTCACCTGCCTCACCTGTCTCACCTGTCTCACCTGCCTCACCTGCCTCACCTGCCTCACCTGTCTCACCTGCCTCACCTGTCTCACCTGTCTCACCTGCCTCACCTGTCTCACCTGCCTCACCTGCCTCACCTGTCTCACCTGTCTCACCTGTCTCACCTGCCTCACCTGCCTCACCTGTCTCACCAGCCTCACCTGTCTCACCTGTCTCACCTGTCTCACCTGCCTCACCTGCCTCACCTGCCTCACCTGTCTCACCTGTCTCACCTGCCTCACCTGCCTCACCTGCCTCACCTGTCTCACCTGCCTCACCTGCCTTACCTGTCTCACCTGCCTCACCTGCCTCACCTGCCTCACCTGTCTCACCTGTCTCACCTGCCTCACCTGCCTCACCTGTCTCACCTGCCTCACCTGTCTCACCTGTCTCACCTGTCTCACCTGCCTCACCTGCCTCACCTGCCTCACCTGTCTCACCTGCCTCACCTGCCTCACCTGCCTCACCTGTCTCACCTGCCTCACCTGACCACACGTCACTGCAGAGGACCAAGTGCATATCAATATCACTAATCAATGAAGGATAATTTCCATAAAAGTTTGGAGAGCTTCTGCTCAAAAAGAAATGCAGATTTCACCAGGGAGATATTTCATAATGTTTTGAAGAAGAAAGATGTTTGTTGAATGAGTTTGTTTGACACATGCCACTGACTACATTTATTTTCTGTCTGCCTTTCAACAGCTTTATTTTCACACATTTCCTCTTCTTAAGGGTTTTCCTATTTATTTCAAGGACTTCCTTCTTACTGTTATAACTGGATATTATCTCGATAATTTCCTCCAGATAATATTTCAAAATGAACTGTAATCATGTTTGATGATCAGTTTAGCAGGAAATCTTTAAATTATTTGTTAAAGATAAAAATAACATACTTATTTTGTCATGATGAGATTTATTATGACAGGTCAAAGGCACTAGCCCCAGGTCTTTAAGTGCTTATAGCACCTGTCATTAAGTAAACCTACCTGCTCTTCACTTTTAGATGTAAGCTCCACTCTGTGCAGAGGCTTGGACCACCTGCTGGTTATTGTGTGAGCACTTAGTGTTTGGCAGGCATGCTGTGGTCAGTCTGCCTGAAGGCAGCTACAACTTTACTACGTGAATATTGACAAAAGTGATTTGATGGGTTTTGGGACATTTGTGAAGTGAGAAAGGTGTTAATGTAATTATAGAGATTAGAGAATACTGGCAGACTTAACGGATAAGAAATGAGGACCGAGAAAAGACCTAAAGCACAAGACGCCGAAGCAGAGAAATGGCTTTTGTCTGACATTGTCCAACATTTTGTCCAAACATTGCTGGACACCAGACAGTGGAACTGGATTCTTTAACTGTGTTTTGTGGGTGACACTGATAAGAGACACACCCCTTTATCCGAGCACAATGTTTATTTAAAGATCAGACATTTTTGTTGTTTCTGCCAAAACAACATAGGCCGTTTTCTAAATGGCCTCGAAGACATTCCTTTCACTAATATGACTAAAACAAAAGTTGTTTAAGGCCAAAGTGAAACAAAAAACCTTTATTTTTATATTTGTTGAACGTCTCTTGTTTGAAAATTGATATTGGCTCCATGTTGTACTTTTTGACTCACATTTGTACAGTGTAACCAAGCAATAGAAACAACTCTAACAAATACATTTTGTCCAAACTAAACTTTGCGGGGAGCGTGTTACAGTCAAAGTCTGGTTTCAATTGTTTTCCCGTTAAGAGTTTGGTAGTTGTTCTTAACCGAAAATTACCACATCTGCTGAGTCAAGGTTTATGATGATACTAAGTTTTCAGCAAAAGGCAAGTGAGTAAAATGTACTTAAAAAAGCAGATTGTCCGCCCCCTTTTATGTTAATTCAAGCCAATCATTTTAAGGACAAAATAAACTACCAAAATGGCAAGATTACGGATCCTGGTCTTGACACAAACAGGTTTGAATGAATATGGCCTCACCCAGTCGGCGACCATAAGTGGGGAATATCTATTAGGGGTCATTCTGAAAAATCAGCTTTAACAGTGTCCGCAGAACTGTAGGTACGGCACGGGGCTGGGCGGCACGGTGGCTGAGTGGATAGCACTCTCGCCTCTCAGCAAGAAGGTCCTGGGTTCAAATCCCGGTCGGACCAGGGCCTTTCTGAGTGGAGTTTGCATGTTCTCCCCGTGTCTGCGTAGGTTTCCTCCGGGCACTCCGGTTTCCCCTACCACTAAAAATATGTCCAATAGTTCTGGCATGCGCCTCCTGTACTGGCCCCGCTCCCATCTCTGTGTGGAGTGAGAGACAAATGCCCAAAAATTAACAATTGTAAACCGCTTTGAGACTCAGATCTGCAGTGAAAAGGCGGTATATAAATAAAGATTACTACTACTACTTACTAGGTAGAAGGCAACAGTTTTCTCTTCTCTACGCTCCAATCCACTGGTGGGCTGTAGTTTGGGAATGGGAGGAGACACAAGAAAGGGGATAAACTAAATGTGAGGGAGGGAAAGAGAACGGGGAGGGACTGGAACCCCACAGAATACACACAACAAGACAAGCGCACATTGGCCTGCACAGAGCACTTCAAAAGCAACTTCTCATGATAATCGCTCAACCACTCAGTGAAATTAAAATGTGGAAAAATTGTTGAGGCATTTATCGCAAAAAAGACTGATAAGACCTGCTCACCCAGGAAGGAAAGCAGATAAGCCCAGTCAGTGGTCCCAGGTCTTCTATAGAGCTGGGAGAGAGGAGAGGGAGAGGTGGGAGGGGGAACACACATGAAGAGAGGCAACCGCACAGATCTGGCGCTCACACTCCAAGAGGCAAGGACACAGGCATGCGGCTCACTTACAAGTAACTTCACTCCTGCGCAGATAAAACTACAAAGGCATCAAACTGGCACAAGACGAGAAAGACAAACTGGATTGGGCAACTTTTTTGTTGCAAGGATTCTTTTGGACGTTGCATCATACATAACTTGTTTTCAATTGGTGGGATTTTCTCCACTTTTTCATAGGCTAGACAATGCTTTTTTAACACGTGTGGCGCATTTTCAAAGCAAGACAGAGCTAAAGAGCCTTGTTTGAGGTGTGAGGGCCATCGGAGATCAGAGAGCAGCTGTCTGTCAGAGGAGGTGGCGAGAGATCTTTCAGGCTAAAGCTCCCAGTTGTTCCCGAGGTGATCTGAGTTATGGACATGGACACATTCTTGCGCCGCTACTGAGGAATAAACAGCCTGGGGGAAATACACCTCAGCTCAGCATGCCCCAGCCCCTGAGCACCTCCACAGCCCTGTCAGCTCCACTACCATGTGTAGATGGACAGTGACCCAAAGTGCAGCAGCGGTCGCCTGGTTGTCTTCCTGCCCCAGCTGCAGACTTCTATTCCTTCTGCTTCTCCTCGTGCTTTGGCCCTCTTCCTCTAACCCACTTCCCACAGACTCTGTGAACAGACACGATGCAGCTCACCTGTTGGTCTCACAGCTGCCCACGTCGCCTGTCCCCCTGCTCGCATCTTCTGCCAGGCAGCCACGGTCGACCAATTTGTCCTCAGCTACGGTGGTCGGCAGACACGTGCGGAGCAGCTACACACACTTGCAAGGGGATGTGCGCAGGAGGAAACTGTTCTCCTTCCAGAAATTCTTCCTCCGCATTGACAAGAGAGGGAAAGTTAACGGAACTAAGAGCGAGGACGATCCTAACAGTAAGTAACATTTAAAAGTAAAAACTCCTTAATCTAAAATACTTAGTTTTAGTAAAATAGTATATTTTAGATAGACTTAGTGTATTTTAGGACTTTAGTTGTATTCATGGGATTCTCTGAGACAGGTGGATGTCATTCCAGTGAGTTTTTGTCATATTTGCCAAACTTCTGTGAGTTTGTAAAAAACACATTTTAGAATGGGTATTATATAAACAGAAAGGATCTATTGCCCAGAGCACTTTGTGAGTATATAATTCACTCTATTGAATATCTTAATACTGTGCTGCAGAACTTACTTGTATTTTTACTCAGCTATAAATTCTGTCGTATACAAGCTCATGTGGCTATACTCAGAAATGTCCTTGTAACTGCATGCTACAAACTTGCTTGAACATTACACATCAGTGGGGCAGCTGCTTAGAAAGTAACCCACAAAAGCCCCCCTCTTTTAGCTACTGCCAGAGATGACTGTGAGAGAAAGGTCATCATGATGGCACTATATTAGCTATATTAGTTAATGTTTTATCATACAATCTGTGTTTTATCACTGGAATTTCTCTATATTTCAAAAATAGGTTTCAAAGATGAATCAGAGCCTTGTGATGCTGCAAGTCTCCAGTTGAACATGTCCAATGCAAGGGTTGAGAATTGTATTAAAACAGAAAAGATTTGACACAAGGCCTGGCCTTATATTTCTCGGACGTTGGCCTCAGTTGGTGGATCTCTACTATATATTTACCTCTTACACACGCACACTCGCAATCACACACACACATGCACATGCGCGCGCACACACACGAACACACTTGCACACGCACACACACGCACACACTCACACACACACACACACACACACACACACACACACACACACACACACACACACACACACACACACACACACACACACACACACACACAGAGGCCAGTGCAAAACTGCACATGGCCTCCATATGGCAAAGCCCACTTTTATTAGGGCCAGTGTGAATATGTGTGTAGACATGTGTGTAGACATGTGTGTGCACATGTGTGTGCCACAGACACCACAGCTCTGCCAGACATGGCGGAAGGAATTTCAATTAGCAGCTCTTCCTCCTCCTCTTGCCTGCAGTCCTAACACAGGCACATAAAGCTCTCCACCGTTAGGATGCAACGTGTCCATATTGGCACAGTACTTCCATGTCAGCGTCATAGTCAATTATTCAATATCGTTTGCATCACAGGCTCCATCTAGCATCATGAACAATCATAAAATAAAACATATAGTTTACATGAGCAGTGTATCATGTTGTACTACCAAATACATCATGATAGTTACTTCTGAATCTGTTGCTAGGCTGAATATATATATTTGTTATTATTATTGGATGAGGGATGTAGCAAAACAGATGTAACATGATATACAGAAATATACAATAAAACACAATCTAACTTTTATAATACATACATTAAAGTATGAAAATAAAAAAAACTAGAATAAACAGAACTGACTGGTCTCACCTGTAGGGACGTTGGAAACTCAAGAAACATTAAAATACAAGACGGGTGTCAATTATATTCTACATCCCTCATTATGAAAAGTGATTAGTTCATTAACTTCTCGTGGATTCCTCACATTTCCTCATTTACTCTATACAATACGAATAACATTGTTTAATGAACTAAAGTGTGTGATTGAAAAAGAACAGCATGAACTTTACTGCTCATCTTGTCAAAAGCCTGCTGCTTTTATTATGTCTTCAGTTTCTCCTTCAATCATCAGTTCTGGAGGGTTTTCATCAGCACTGACAACAGGTTTTATGACAAACACATTTAATTAAACATGAGAGATATATATAATGCATGTTTTAGTAACAATAAGTCACTTTAAGTGACTAATGACCAGTACTAGGACTGAAACCAGCACTACTATTTTTAACCTTTAACATGTTGCACACTTCCTGTCTTTTTTAACAATCTGTCTCTCTGTCTTTGCCAAACGTGACATGTACATTTCTCAATTGTGAGATCAATAAAGTTTGTCTTTTCTTACAGAGTTGCTATAACATGTGCCATTACTCTGAAAGCTATGGCCACCTGAAAAGTCAGCACGGTCAGTTATTGCTTACATTAATCACAATAGAAAAAGCCTCCTGTAAATACTACAGAAGGCTATAGTATGTATATACCATAATACTATTCAGTAGGATATATACAGTATATAATATACTGTATATATCCTACTAAAAGATCTCCTAATAAACATGACATTCTATTGTTCAGATTTGAACTAACAACATTGTTGTGTCCAGACTAATTACTCTTAAGGCCCCTCCGTTTGACCTCTACCTATTGACCTAAGACAGGAAGCTTGGTAAATGGACAAGTCAAAGCTCAGGCGAAAGGTGATCACATGGGACAGCAGTGTTGGCTGAAATGCAGATGCTGTTAGACTGAAATAAATAAAAAGCATATACAATGACCTCATCTCTTTGGTGTGATGTTACCATTTATGTGTAGCAAAGCGTTTCTGCAAATAGGTCAAATGAACATCACAAAAACATGCCGGTGCTTTCATTAATTCAAGCCTGTTTCTCCCAGTTTTAGAACCAATGAGTGCATTTAGGGTTCTCATGGGAAGAGGTAACAGTGTGGCCCATAAAAGAGAGTTATGAGGAGACATTGAATGCACCAGAGTTTAGTGTTAGGGTTGTTTCTCATTCACTTACTTTGATATCTTCATAGATACTCCACTCCGGCAGCTGTAAATAATAGAAATGCTAGTGCACAAAACTCTGTGGCTTTAGAGGAACTATACCCAATTTACCTCCTCCATCACCTCCTCCATCACCTCCTCCAACACCTCCTCCATCACCTCCTCCAACACCTCCTCCATCACCTCCTCCATCACCTCCTCCAACACCTCCTCCATCACCTCCTCCAACACCTCCTCCATCACCTCCTCCATCACCTCCTCCAACACCTCCTCCATCACCTCCTCCAACACCTCCTCCATCACCTCCTCCATCACCTCCTCCATCACCTCCTCCATCACCTCCTCCACACCTCCTCCATCACCTCCTCCATCACCTCCTCCACACCTCCTCCCTCACCTCCTCCATCACCTCCTCCATCACCTCCTCCATCACCTCCTCCATCACCTCCTCCATCACCTCCTCCCACACCTCCTCCATCACCTCCTCCATCACCTCCTCCATCACCTCCTCCATCACCTCCTCCATCACCTCCTCCACCACCTCCTCCACCACCTCCTCCATCACCTCCTCCACCACCTCCTCCATCACCTCCTCCACCACCTCCTCCATCACCTCCTCCACCACCTCCTCCATCACCTCCTCCATCACCTCCTCCATCACCTCCTCCATCACCTCCTCCATCACCTCCTCCACCACCTCCCTCCACCACCTCCTCCACCATCACCTCCTCCACCACCTCCTCCATCACCTCCTCCATCACCTCCTCCACCACCTCCTCCACCACCTCCTCCCATCACCCACCTCCTCCATCACCTCCTCCACCACCTCCTCCACCACCTCCTCCTCCACCTCCTCCTCCATCACCTCCTCCACCACCTCCTCCATCACCTCCTCCACCACCTCCTCCATATATATATATATATATATATTACACATTACACCTTACTGTTGATTTAGCTTTGAGTGACATGCAACACCGAGAAAAGCCATGTGCGCTCCCTGACATGTTTAAAATACGTATTAAACTTATAACTGAAAGTGTCACTACAGTGTTCGCCCGGTGCATGTGAGCCAGCAGGATTCATGCCTAGTATCAGGGGTCAAAGAACAGCATCTGTGATAGATAACATCCAACTCTCTAGCCTGATAGACATCAGTGATGCTGGAAAAGCCCCAACCACACACACATGTTCTGCTCCTGCCAGACACTCTCATTCACCCCTAACCCGGCTACACACACACTAACAGCCCAAAAGCATGAAAGTGAGACTCTTAATGGAGCCATCAAAGTGTAGGCCTGTACAGAGCGTCGAGCTGCTGCAAGAACTGCCATGAGAGTAGAAAACATCCACAAGGAAAGCGTGGCTGGTAACAAACCCATCTTGGATCATGAATATGCATTGAACAAAACTGGCAAGGGTTCTGATGACGTTGTGTTAAACTCTTTTAAACATTCTTACTTTGCTTTTGTGCAACTTTAGTGCTGTTTTATAAACCTCTGTGATAATAGTAGGGATGCACTGATCCAGCTTTTTAATGTCTGATTACAACTTAGTAAAAGTTAAAACTCTATGACAATCGGTATCAGCCAATAAAATGATTCTATTGACAGAAAGGCTGACCAGAATTGTATCTATGTATCACTAAATAATATGTAATGTCATGCTTTTCATTTGTACAAAACATGCATTCAGAGTTATCAGCCCTGCAGTGCTTGAGTTTATAGTTGGTGTTAAGAGTGATGAAGAATTTACTTTAGCGCTCAAAGTTGTTCAACATTTCATGCTCACAATGTTCAAAGATAATTATGGAACATTTTCACTTTACCCTCTGGACCCAACAGGAATTTTGTGTCGCTCCAGTCTATAGTTCATTATTTTGGAGAGAAACCTAGACAAGTCAAGTAACCCACAATTTGTAAAACAATTTCTACAGATCTGTGAACATGTTCTTGTCAGACTAGTTAGTGCACCACTTCTGGTAAAGAAGCCATAAAAGAGCCCTACTTTGGTTTTCCACAAACCACATCAAACAGATAAAAAGGAATAATACAGTTCAAACAGGTGGCTAACACTAACATGCTAATGTCAGATTCTAAGGATGGATCATTTAGTGATTCAAGAGAATGAGTAGTCTCCAAAACTGTATTTTCTCATCTACTTATACAGTATTATAAAGAACACGATGAGAGCTCTCTCACAGCGATGACAAGAGCAGGTCAGGAGCTCTTTGGTTGGATGTGAGCAGAGATCAACAGAAGAAAACTAAAATGTCTGAAGTTTTAATATATGCAGTTTATTGTTTGTTCTTTGTTTCCTGCACAGAATCATACGTCTGGAAATTATACCATTATATATTAAAGCGACAGCCAATCACTTTATGATGGTACTTAAAACCAGGAAGGATCAATGGGCCTTTCTTTAGATTTTCTGCCAAATATAGATAATGCTATGTTTTTCTGAATAGATTAAATATATTTTAAAGAAAAACATGAACAAAACCAGACATTGTCATTTTTTCCCCAGGTGTTTTGGAGATCAAGTCTGTGGATGTTGGAGTGGTGGCCATCAGAGGCCTCAGTAGTAACTACTATCTGGCGATCAGTAAGAAGGGGGAGCTATATGGAGCGGTAAGCATCTGTGATTTAACTAAATATTATGGCACCCAAGTAAAAGGTATTTATCAATGTACAAAGAATACTGCTCTTTCCCAACAGGATGTTTTTATAAAAAATCCAATACAGTACATTTCAGACATAGACAGTGCTTGTGATGGAGGTGAGACTTGTCTGCGTTCAGGTCCATTCATAAACAGGAAACACAATCCTTGAGTTGCTTTTTCTGCATCAGTCCCTTTGGGCGGAGAAGCCCTTTTTTCATCTGTTTTCTCTCTCTTCTTTTCTTCTCCTTTGCAACTCTGAAAAGCAAACTTTCAACATGTCTCTCTAGAGTCACACCGCAGATGAAATGACACACGGTAGAAAAGAAAGAGGCATTCTGTTGCATGGCCTGAAACTGAATTCCCGTTACGTCGTCCTGATGCTGCAACACAAGCTTCAGCGGCGTGATGGTGGGGCTAGCATTACACCTGATGGCTGACCACAGGGACTTCTTTATCAACTTCTAATCAACTGGAAGCATTTTGGATGTGCATTTTCAGAAATATGCATATAGATACAATGTTGCATCTAAAGTGTCTCATTTGATGTCTGCTTTCATTAAAGTTATCGAATGTGGTGAATGTATGCGTACCAGGCATTGCATGCAGAGGTCCAGCAAACTCCTAGCATTGATGTGTAGTTTTGGTTCTGGAACTTAGTAATATTGTAGATGGGTGTGTTTGCTTTGTGCAGTTTGCCTTTTAATTAGGGCTGGGACACTATTAAAAATAGCTTTGTAATTAATTAATTGCATTTTAATCACATATAAATATTTGACCTGATAAGAGTGAGAAGTCATTTTTTTCCCATCCACAGGGCTAACCAACGCATTCACAACAGCTTCTTTACTAATGTTCACTCTGCCACTGTGTTTCGTTGTTGTCTGAACCCAATTAGTTAGTGCTCCAGTACAATCGGCCCGTCAGGCCCCGTCCACACGTAGCCGAGTATCTGCTGAGCCACAGATATTTGTTGTTGTTTGCACCTGTCATCCACATGGCAATGCATCATAAACAAATATATAAAAAAATACTCCGGGCAAAGTGAAGATTTTTGAAAACCGGAGTTTTGCGTTTTCGCACGTCACAGTGTGCCCCCAAAACAAGGGTTAGCTAAACCAGGACTAAACCAGGACTAAACCAGGACTAAACCAGGACTAAACCAGGACTAAACCAGGACTAAACCAGGACTAAACCAGGGCTGAGGACACAGTGATTGTGAACATATGTCTTCACCCTGAGTTTCTACTATGACTGTAAAAGTGCCGCTGCAGAAGTACCCGTGTTGGCATCAAAGCTCCGCCCAAGGATAGAGACGTGCTCTTTGTGTCGCTTTGGCTCTTACTCCATGATCATTTTATTTTACTATTTGTAAATAATAATTTGACTCCCAGTTAACTTCTATTCCTTTATTCGAGAGGGAACAGATCAGTGCCATTCCTTGATTGGTTTCTAGTAGTTGCTAAATGGCGTCTCGTTTAATCGTTTGGTAAAAACAATAGTAAAATATAAACAAGATCATGGAGCTTATTAAAACCCAAACAACTGAAACTCAGGAGAATAGAAACCAAAGTGAGAAGGAACAGCAGCTCGTCCATGACCACTTCCCCATCGCCAGCTTCCAGGTTAGCCCTGTCCGTCATTCTTAACACACCCATACACTCCCCCATACCCTCAGCCCCACAGACACGTTAGAGTGAGGGGCTAAACGAGTCACTTTAATTAAAGTGTGTCATTTGTGTCAGGCTGAAACATTTGTATTACTGAAGCTAACTATCAAAGTGTATTGGGTCCATGTACTTTTGCGTTCACTACATCTTCTATTTTTGAAGGGAAATGGAGAATTAAAAAAAGGCTATTTTGCATTTTCAGGCAGACGGCAATGTACAAAAATGTAACAAAAATTCCATTCCGGATTTGGGAACTAGAAAATACAGTAATGTACCTTTTTTATTAAGCATTTAATACATTTTGGCGTCAATCGATTACCCGGAAGTGAAACGAGTTGGTTTACTTCAGCCCTTTTCGCACGGGATTAGAATGACCTGTGGACCACTGGTCATTTGTGACGTCTGAGATCTTGCATTCACACTCTGTGCACGGGGTCTTTGCTTCACGCAGCCCATAGAGACTCTCGTCTGACCACAGCAGCCTCAGAGACCATGAAGACAAACACATACATGTGGATTTTACTGCTCTACAGTTCTCTGGCCCGTACTGTAATGGTTAATAATAGTTTGTAAGGACTACTCGTGAACCACATGCTGAGAAACGTGCGAGCGACAAATAGTAACGGCTGCAGCAACACGTCTGTACGAGGACAGAGTGCAGAGTAAACGTACAAACACAACCCATCGGTCTGATCATTTAGTGTCAGTGACACATTACACTGTCCTCTTCTCCACAGACCTCACAGAGACAGCAGCAGCCGCGACTCTGCAGCTGTGTACACAGCCGCGACACGTGACTCCTCTGCTCATTGACAAAAACAACGCAGAAAGTAAAGAGAAAGCGGAAATAGCAATCACAAAATCACTGAAATGCAGATTAACAGGATTAGTATTATCACAGTCTGTGTTTGGACAAATACAGGTCATTTGCGGCGGAATTATTACTAAACAAATTACAGACATGGCACATTCGCACGAGACTAAGATCTCAGACGTCCTCCGTGATTATCACACATACCAGAGGTCCACAGGTAAAACTAATCCTGTGCGAGTCACAAACTGGTTTCACTTCTGGGTAATCCATTGATGCTGAAATGTGTTAGATACATATTAAAAAGGTTAATTATTTCCCTTCAAAAATAGAAAATGCATTGAACGCAAAAGTACACGGACCGTGTTGTTAAATCATCTTATTTAGTTTCATCTTAATTAATAATTACTAACATTCCGCCCAATCATGTAAGATTTTCTGAATAAGAATGGTATTAATGATTCTGCAGATGTTGGTATAACTCATACTGTCAACCCGAGCAGCAACTGCTGCACTAACCATCTACTCAGAGGTAATAGCAATAAATATTTATATATTCATTGCAGAAATCCAGTTTATTAAACTCTGTGGTGCAAACATAGAAATGAGCCAGTATCCACACAAATTGATTGATGGATATGATTTAAAATATCGGGAAAGGTCAAAATGAGAGGTTGATGTTTGAAAGCACTTTGTCCACAAATAGATGAAGTGTTTAGAGACATTTCCTGACACCTGTCTCTGTT